GTCCGAGAACGCCGAGCTCCGTGTGCGCCTCCACTGACCCCCACGGGGCTGCCCGCCCAGGGTCCACTCTTCCAACTGGGTCCGCGTCCTGGAGCGACGGGGCGGCGTCCACGCTGGGCCCAAGGCTGCCCCGAGCAGCTTGAAAGACGGAAAACACAACCGGATTTCGGACGGATCCGGCTCCCTGGTGCCGAGGGACCCAGCGCTCCGGGGTCAGCTGTGCACCCCGCCAGCCCTGGGCCTGCCCCGCCCCGGCCCCGCCCCGGCCCCGCCCTCGCCGCCCCGGCCCCGCCCCCGCCCTCGCCGCCCCGCCCTCGCCCCTGGCCCCGCCCTCGCCGCCCCGGCCCCCCCCCCCCGGCTTCGCCCCGCCCCCGCCGCCCCGCCCTCGCCTCCCCGGCCCCGCCCCGCCCCGCCCCCCGGCCCCGCCCTCGCCCCCCGGCCCCGCCCCCGCCCCCCCCCCCCCGGCCCCGGCCCCGCCCCCGCCGCCTCGGCCCCCCGGCTTCGCCCCCGCCCTCGCCTCCCCGGCCCCGCCCCCCCGGCCCCGCCCCTGGTCCCGCCCCGCCCTCGCCGCCCCGCCCCCGCCCTCGCCTCCCCGGCCCCGCTCCTGGTCCCGCCCCGCCCTCGCCTCCCCGGCCCCGTCCCTGGTCCCGCCCCGCCCTCGCCGCCCCGGCCCCGCCCTCGCCGCCCCGGCCCCGCCCTCGCCGCCCCGGCCCCGCCCCTGGTCCCGCCCCGGCCCCGCCCTCGCCGCCCCGGCCCCGGCCCCGCCCCTGGTCCCGCCCCGGCCCCGCCCTCGCCGCCCCGGCCCCGCCCCGGCCCCGCCCCTGGTCCCGCCCCGCCCCCGCCCTCGCCGCCCCGGCCCCGCCCCCGGCCCCGGCCCGCCCCCGGCCCCGCCCTAGTGCTCTGGCAGCGGAAGCTGCTCCAGCCCGGCTTCCCCAGAAGGCCGGCGGCTCCGGGACACCGTAGCGGTCGGGCAAAGGAGGGGCTGCCGGTGTGGGCCGCCCGGAGGCGGCCTCCCTCGCGCGGGGGAGCGGGGGAGCCGAAGCGCCCCGGTGGGTGGCGGCGTCCGGCCGTCCCGCGGCCTTCCGGAGCCGCCTGGGCGGCGGGCGGCGGCGCTGGCCCCGGCGCGCCCGGCATGGAGCTTCCTGCGGAAGCGGCTCGCCTGGCCGTCCTCCGTCTGGGATCAGATCTGGCCCGACGGGAGACGGAGGACGGCGGCCCCGGGGCGGGCCGCGCGCTCCGCGACTGGAGGAGCCGCGCGTCGCCGCGGGGACCGGCTGTGCGTCCCGGCGCGAGGCGGCCGCGCCCGGCACGCGCGTCGCCGAGGCCGCCAGTGCGTGGCCGGGACGCGGGGTCGCGCCGGCGCGGGAGGGAGGGGCGGGCGGGGCGCCGGGGCCGGGCCGGGATGTGAGGCCGGGCGGGGCGGGGCGGGGCGGGGCGGGGCGCCCTGCCGGGTCCCTGCCGGAGCAGGTCCTGGGAGAGCCAGGGTGGTCCCGGGCCGAGACCGAGGCCAGGCGTCCCGTGTGTCCCCACGCGCCAGCCCAGGCCCCGCTGTGTGCGGTCGCTGCCGTGCTCCCACGCAGATGGCCGAGTCCTGGCGCGGGGCCCCCTTCCCCTGGGGAGTCCAGGCTCGCCCCCCTTCCCCTGGGGAGTCCAGGCTCGCCCCCCTTCCCCTGGGGAGCGCCCCCTTCCCCTGGGGAGTCCAGGCTCGCCCCCCTTCCCCTGGGGAGTCCAGGCTCGCCCCCCTTCCCCTGGGGAGCGCCCCCTTCCCCTGGGGAGTCCAGGCTCGCCCCCTTTCCCCTGGGGAGTCCAGGCTCGCCCCTCTTCCCCTGGGGAGCGCCCCCCCTTCCCCTGGGGAGTCCAGGCTCGCCCCCCTTCCCCTGGGGAGCGCCCCCCTTCCCCTGGGGAGCTCCCCCCTTCCCCTGGGGAGTCCAGGCTCGCCCCACTTCCCCTGGGGAGTCCAGGCTCGGTGCCCGCTGCATCTCCACCGTCAGACAACGTCTGTCCTGCCCACGTTGGGGCTCGACATCTCCCCCGGCTGTTGCTGCGCTGGGAATTCATGTAGCTAGGGGTGTGCCCTGCCAGGACCGGTCTGGAAGCAGGGCAGGAGCAGGGCTAGCGGAGCCAGCTGCAGCGGCCTACGGGATTCCGCCCTTGCACCCCGTTGGCCCTGCCCCGGCCCTGCCCTGAGCCCCATCCCTGCCCTGAGCCCCATCCCTGTCCTGAGCCCTGGACCTGTCCTGAGCCCCGGCCCTGCCCTGAGCCCCATCCCTGCCCTGAGCCCCATCCCTGCCCTGAGCCCCATCCCTGTCCTGAGCCCCATCCCTGTCCTGAGCCCCGGCCCTGCCCTGAGCCCCATCCCTGCCCTGAGCCCCATCCCTGTCCTGAGCCCCGGCCCTGCCCTGAGCCCCGGCCCTGCCCTGAGCCCCGGCCCTGCCCTGAGCCCCATCCCTGTCCTGAGCCCCAGCCCTGCCCTGAGCCCCATCCCTGCCCTGAGCCCCGGCCCTGCCCTGAGCCCCATCCCTGCCCTGAGCCCCATCCCTGCCCTGAGCCCCGGCCCTGCCCTGAGCCCCGGCCCTGCCCTGAGCCCCATCCCTGCCCTGAGCCCCATCCCTGCCCTGAGCCCCATCCCTGTCCTGAGCCCCGGCCCTGCCCTGAGCCCCGGCCCTGCCCTGAGCCCCGGCCCTGCCCTGAGCCCCATCCCTGCCCTGAGCCCCATCCCTGCCCTGAGCCCCGGCCCTGCCCTGAGCCCCGGCCCTGCCCTGAGCCCCATCCCTGCCCTGAGCCCCGGCCCTGCCCTGAGCCCCGGCCCTGCCCTGAGCCCCATCCCTGCCCTGAGCCCCATCCCTGCCCTGAGCCCCATCCCTGTCCTGAGCCCCGGCCCTGCCCTGAGCCCCGGCCCTGCCCTGAGCCCCATCCCTGCCCTGAGCCCCAGCCCTGCCCTGAGCCCCATCCCTGCCCTGAGCCCCGGCCCTGCCCTGAGCCCCGGCCCTGCCCTGAGCCCCATCCCTGCCCTGAGCCCCGGTCCTGCCCTGAGCCCCATCCCTGCCCTGAGCCCCATCCCTGTCCTGAGCCCCATCCCTGTCCTGAGCCCCGGCCCTGCCCTGAGCCCCATCCCTGCCCTGAGCCCCATCCCTGCCCTGAGCCCCGGCCCTGTCCTGAGCCCCGGCCCTGCCCTGAGCCCCGGCCCTGCCCTGAGCCCCATCCCTGCCCTGAGCCCCGGCCCTGCCCTGAGCCCCATCCCTGCCCTGAGCCCCATCCCTGCCCTGAGCCCCGGCCCTGTCCCAGCCCCAGCCCTGCCCTGAGCCCCGGCCCTTTCCTCTGTGGATCAGTCTCCAGTCCCAGCGTTGTTCAAGTCCACCTCTCGCCTCCTGGGGTCCCCCAGCGGGCACTGTATCCAGGGTCGTTTTTCACATGGCAAGTGAAGTTAGAGCCACAGCCCTTGCCCTGCGCTCCCTGGCAGGGGCAGGAGACTGGGGGAGCAGCCCCGTGCTCCCGCCGGCTCGGGTGGGTGGCCCCACGTTCCCTGCTGGCTCTGGGGAGGTGGCTCCAGGGGTGGGCAGGGCAGCACTTGTGGGAGAGCTAATGACCGTCCGGGCCTGGGAGCACACTCATGGTGTCATTAGCCCCAGGTGCTCAGCCCTGTGCCCCAGAGAGATCCTGAGGCGGGACTTCCCTGGCAGTGCTCAGCTCTCTGCAACCTGCAGGGACCTTGACATGGGGTTCAGGGCAGGGTGTGGGAGAAGCCACACTGCTCCTGGCTCCCAAGGCCTGCTGTCCTGGGACGTGAGACCCATCACCAGCCTGAGGGTCTCATCTTCCCCTCCCTCCCCCTCCCCCCCCCCCCCCCCCCGGGCAGGACCCAGGGTCTCTAGCCGCAGGAAGAACGTGTGGAGAGCTAGGTACCTCACAGGCTGCCCCTCCTGCCCTTGAATGAGTTGTGGGCCGCTGAGCCTGCTGCCCAGGGAAACCGACCACCAGGTGACCCAGCCAGGTTGCAGCCCTGTCTTTGGCACAGCTACTCATCCAGCCTGCCTTCCAGTGCTAGCCCTGTGTCTGGGGCCCTTTGCCCCTCTGGCTCTGGGCGGGCCCCAGGCCCTGGCTGCCCCAGTTTGTGTCATGCTGGCATCTTTTGAGGCCCCTCATGACCCTGCTCCCCCATAGGTGCAGAGCCCCCACTCCCCATTCCTGGCCGGTGGAGGAGTGGATGTGCTCCCAGGGCTCTTCTGCAAGGCCTAGCCTGCTGGGTCCCTGGAAGGTTCTGGAAGGGGGAGGCTTGGATAAGAAGCTGAGCCAGCTGTACAGCCCCAGCTGGGCCTTGAGGGGCAGAGATGCAGCTTTGGGGTGGGGCGGGGAGCAGCTCTTCCTCCCCAGAGCATGGCTGGTTCCCAGGAGCCACTCTCCTGTGTCCTGCCCAGCTGCGCGCCAGGTGGAGCGGGCGCCGGCGGCCCAGGGCTGCATTCAGGCAGGCAGGCTTTTCTTCTCTGGTGCTGGCCCAACAGAGCTGGGAAAGGAGCATCTCTGACAGCACCAGGGCTCAAGGCTGAGCCCTGAGCCTGGCTCTTCTGGGACCAGGATGAGCTGAGTCCTTTCCACGCACACCCTCCCTGTCCCCACCGCTCCGGCTGCCTCTTCTGGGGCTCCCACCCCCCATCCCTGCCACCCTCCTGAGACAAGTGAGCCGCACACAGCCAGGTGGCCCCATGCCAGCCCCACCAGCAGCCCACAAGGTTCCTGGGGTCCCTATGAACCCCCCACAGGGCTCAGCAGAGGTTCAAGTGAGCCGCACACAGCCAGGTGGCCCCATTCCAGCCCCACCAGCAGTCCACAAGGTTCCTGGGGTCCCATGAACCCCCCGCAGGGCTCAGCAGAGGTTCGAGTTCGGTAGGTTGAGGGCTGGTGGTCACTTTCTGAGTGAGGGGTCGCTTGCAGCAGAGCTGCCAGAGCCTAGGCCCCGATTCATGGGTAGTTTTTCCCGTGGGCGGCAGTGTTTGAGTCACATGATGGTCACCGACCAGCCCTCACTCTGCAGCCAGGACTGGTACAGAGCCTGGGCCGGACCCCCGCAGAGGGCCTGGCATGGCCAGACGCACGGCTGGGTTACACAGGGCCAAGGTGACCCCTGCCCCTCCCCTTTCAGCTGGTATTGGGGGGGGATCAGCAGAACCAAAGCCCAGCAGCTGCTCTTGTCCGCCAACGCGCCGGGCACCTTGCTCATTAGGCCCAGCGAGAGCAGCCTTGGAGAGTTCTCCCTGTCAGGTCCGTACACCAGGGCATCGTGCCCACCCCCAGGCCAGCTACTCTTGGCCAAGATTGCCAGCTCCTTACTCATGCTAGTCAGCCAGTATCCTTGCCTGCCCTCCCCCTTCCTTCCTTCCTTCCTTCATTCCTCCTTCCCTCCCTCCCTCCCTCCCTCCCTCCCTCCCTCCCTCCCTCCCTTCCTTCCTCCCTCCCTTCTTCCCTCCCTTCCTCTCTCTCTCTCTTTCTCTTTTTATCCCTTTCTCCTTATTTTATTCACTTACTCATGAACTAGAACAAGAAGCTATGAAGCTTGCCAGGCACTGGTGGCTCACGTCTGTAATCCTGGCTACTCAGAAGGCTGAGATTTGAGGATCTCAGTTCAAAGCCAGCCTGGGTAGAAAAGCTCATGAGACTCTTATCTCCAGTGAACGCAGCCAGAAGGAGCTGTGACTCAAGTGGTAGAGCACTCGCCTTAAATAAAAAAAGCTTAGGGACAGTGCCCAAGCCCTGAGTTCCAGCCCTAGGACACACGCGCGGGGGCACGCACGCACGCGCGCACACACGCACACACGCACGCGCGCACACACACAAGCCCCTCATTACGCACTTCTGGTGTCCCCTGGGTCCCCTCACTGCCTCCTGCCCTGCAGCCCCCCCCAACATCATGCTTGTTGCCTCAGTTGCCTCCTGTCCAGTCTGAGCAGGGCCCCTTGGGAGGCTGGGGCAGGTGCAGCCAAGGCCCTGGTGTTCACCTCTGTCCCGCAGTCTGGGCCTAGGCTACCGCCTGCCACTACTGCATCTGCATGGCACCCAGCCGCAGCCTCTACCCGCAGGAAGGCCGGCCCTTCCCCACCCTGGAGGCCCTGCTTGCCAGTTGGCTACAAGGCCAACTGGAAGCGGATTCAGCCCCCCTTGCTGCAGCCCTGTGTGGCCCCGCGGCCTGAGGCCCCTTCCTCCCCCACTCTGAGCCCTGCCCCTTGAGTTCTCCTCTGGTGTGCAAGTGCTGGGGGGTCAGCTGTGCAGTGTTCTGCAGAGGAGCAGGAGGGACCTGTTTTGCGGGAGATACCACAGCTGCCCCAGCCTGAGGGCAGACGCTGTGGGAGGCTCTGTGATCTTTGAAGCGCTATCTGGGCTGTGGCAGGCTGACCCGGAGACACAGCATTCCTGAGGTGGTGGTGGGCAGGGTGGCAATCAGGTTTCTCTGTGCCCAGTGAAAGCTGGCCAGGGTGGTACTGAGTCTGAGGAGGACGGTGTCCACTCACTCCTGCTGACCGAGGCTCACTGAGGTCCTCAAAGCAGGCGTCACAGCTCTGGGCAGACCTAGGGTGCTGGGTGGAGGGCGGCGGCCTGGTGCTGGGCTCTGCTGGGGCCGCGCTGCGGGCCAGCCCCCGCACCCCACCCCCTGTGGCCTGGCGCTGGGCTCTGCTGCGAGCCAGGCTCTCCCCACCCCCCCCACCTCCCTGCCGCACCACCCGCCCAGCCTCCCTGCCGCCCCCTGCTGCCCCTGCCACGGAAGCACTGTCTCCACAGAAGGCCCTGGTGCAGGACGAGTGGGAGCAACCCACTCGGAGTTTGTCCTTCGGAGGAAGCTGGGCGAAGGCCACTTGGGGGCGGTGTGGGAAGGCCTGCAGCTGGGCTTCCTTCAAGTCAGGTGAGGCCCGCCCGGCTTCAGGCAGGCTCTGACCTCTGACCCCGGGCTCAGCTGGGGCCTGGGCGGTCCTGGAGCAGCATCTTCTTCCCCAGACGACATGAAGCTGGCCGACCTCACCAAGGAGATGGAGGCTCTGATGAGCCTGAGGCGGGAGCAGCTGATGGGCTGCACCCCGTGTGCTCTGTGTGGGGGAGCCTATGTACGTCGTCACCGAGCTCACGGGCAAGGGCCACCGCAGGCCTGCCTGGGCAGCGAGTACCACCCACACTGCCTGGCAGCCGCGCCACGGGCAGCTCTGAGACCTGTACCCCTTAGGGCCACCACCTCTGGGCAGCAGTGCCTCCTCCCTCTGGCTGGACCCTGGGCTCCTCCCTTCAGAGGAAGGAGCCGGGTCTTTCCTCCTGTGCAGCAGCGGCTCTCCTGGCTCTCCTTCAAGAGGACTGCGCTTGCAGCATCTGCCCCGGCCACGGGATGGGGCTCACCGCCAGGGCTGAGGCTCACGCAGAGGCCTTCCCATGGAGTGGGTTTGGCCAGGACTGCAGATGTCTGACCTGGCCGGCCTCTGGCCAGCAGAGCTTCAGACAGCGGCTGGTGGTTTTGAGACAGGCAAGAAGGGAGTCCAGGTTTGTCTCCAGCCTGTGAGCTGTGATTGTGGGCCCTGGGTGCGCGCCCCTCTGAGCCTCTTCCCTTGGGTCCAGGCTGGTAGCCACAGGGCAGTCCATCCAGAGGGTCCCTGGGCAGCCCAGGACCACCTCTTCCACCGACTCAATCCCTGGTGGATGTGGAGCCGAGGCAGCGCCCTGGAGGTCTCCGGGCCCCGCAGGCCTGCCCCCGGCCCCCTGGCCCTGGCTGTGGGCTTCCTCCCTGCAGACCCCGAGGGCCAGGCCCTGAGCCTGCTGCTGCTGCTGCTGCTGGGCTTCACCTGCCAGGTGGCTGAGGGCACCTGGGAACAACCTCTGGGAATGGCAAGTGGTCCTTGGGACCTGGCCACCAGGAACGTGCTTGTGGGCCATGACCTCTCCTGTAAGGTGGCTGACTTTGGTCTGGCTAGGCTCCTCAAGAAGGGTGGGGCTCGGAGCTCCGCCCCCCAGGGGAGGGCACTGTCCCCCCTCCCCCCACCCTTGCCCTCCTCCCAGGACGACGTCTACTCCCCCCTCCCCCCCAGCAGCGGCTCCAAGATCCCAGTCAAGTGGACTGCACCCGAGGCAGCCAACTACCGAGAAGTCGGATGTCTGGTCTTTTGGCATCCTGCTGTATGAGGTCTTTGCCTACGGCCAGTGTCCCTATGAAGGTGGGCCACCTGGCGGGGACAGGGCCTGTCTGGAAGTTTGGTCTGAGGGGCAGCCTGGAGGAGCGTAGCTGCTTGGGTGCTGTGGACCCCAGGGCGGGGGGGGGGGCAGGGCTGAGGCGGGAGGCCAGAGGGCTGGGAGGGAGTTCGGGGAGGCTGAAATCCCAAGGTCTTCATAGAGACCCCTGGTGGCCCCTCTTGTGACCTCACCCCCAGGAATGACCAACCACGAGACACTACAACAGATCAGCAGAGGTTGCCGGCTGCCAGGCCCGGCAGCCTGCCCGCAGAGGTCTGCGGCTCATGGAAGGACAGCCCGGAGGAGCAGCCTGCTTCGGCTGCACTGTGGGAGAAGCTGGGTGCCATCCAGGCTGCACCTGGGCCTCCTGTGACCAAGGGCTCCAGGTCCCTGCAGTCGCCACAGCCAGCAGGGCCACCCCAGGACGGTGCCTGCCACCAACGCACACCAGAGACGCCACACCGCCCGCACCGGCACCAGACACACGTCTGACTGCGGGCCCCTCTCTGCTGGGCTGGTGACACTGGCGTGTGCTCACCAGGTAGATGTCTGCTGATGGCGCAAGGCCACCAATGCCACCAAGGTGCTGTGCCGGGTGTGCCCGGGTCCCTGAGGGCACTGGGCAGAGGTGTCCATGTGGAGCCAGCAGCTCCCTTCTTGCCCCAGCCTCTTCCTGGGCCAACTCGACTCCCCCCAGGGTCAAGAGTGCCAGGCCCATTTCCTACTGTGGTTTTGTGGAAGTGGCCATACTTGGCTGCTGCTGGCTCACATCTGTCATTCTCGCTGCTCATGAGGCTGAGCAGAAAAGTCTGTGAGACCCTCATCTGCAATCAACCAGCAAAACACCAGAAATGTGCATGCGTTTTAAGTGGCAGAAAGCCAGCCTTGGGGGAAAGGGCAAGCGGGAGCGCCAGGCCCCGAGTCCTCGCCCTGGTGGTGTTGCCTATGTGCACACGCACGTGAGTGCACACACACAGACCCCCCCCCCCCCCCACACACAGCCTGAGCTGTGGTTCCCAGGAAGACCTCAGCTGCATACTGGCACCAATGGCCCTGCACCAACACTGCCCCCTCCCACCCACAGGCAGGGCAGGCTCGGGTACAGGAAGGTGGCACCCAATAAACATGCTCCCAACGACGGAGGTCTGCCCAGGTGGTTGCATCCCAGAGCCTGACGCTGGTCCACCCAGCCTGCAAAGGGACAGAGACCTGGACTAGTACAGCGAGGCACGGTACCCGGATGGCATCTGTGCAGCGCCCCGGGGCCTCGTGAAAGCCTCAGGCCTCGCTGGGCCGGGCTGGATTGAGCCGGGCAGGCTGGGTCATTCCAGCAGGCCACATTTGCATTTGGGGGAGCCTCTCGCTCCCCAGGAAGGGCAGGAATCTGAGTCACCCCAGGCCCACCTCAGCCTCGCAGCCGCTGTACTCAGAAGCCTGTGGGGAGAGGTCGGCTGGGTTGAGGCTGCAGCCCCTTCCGTGGGTTTGTCTGGGCACCTCCTCAGCCGCTGCACGGCAGCTCGGGCTCTCCTGAGACTTCCCTGCTCCTGCTGGGAACCCGTGAGCCAGGCCACTGCCCAGGACTCAGCTCGGACCCAGCCACCCAAGGCTGGCTCCTCACATCGAGGCCAGCACTGTCTTCTTCCTGGCTAGTCCTCATCTGAGCTCTCCGCTGCCCTTCCTTGCAGCTTGGTAAGACACGGAACTGGGCAGGCCAGCACGCTTGTGAACCTGCTAAATAATCCACATGCCTATTCTGTTGTTGTTGTTGCTGTGGGTCGTGGGGCCTGAACACTGTTCCTCAGCTCTTCAGCTCAAGGCGAGCACTCTGCCACTTGAGCCACAGCGCCACTTCCTGTTTTCTAGTGGTTTATTGGAGATAAGAGTCTCACAGAAGCTGGGCGCCGGTGGCTCACGCCTGTCATCCTAGCTACTCAGGAGGCTGAGATCTAAGGATCGAGGTTCAAAGCCAGCCTGGGCAGGAAAGTCCATGAGACTCTTATCTCCAACAAACCACTAGAAAACCAGAAATGGTGCTGTGGCTCACGCGGTAGAGAGCTCGCCTTGAGCTGAAGAGCGCAGGGACAGCGCCCAGGCCCAGAGTTCAAGCCCCACGACTGACCAAAAATAAAAAAGAAGTCTCACAGACTTTCCTGCCCCATCTGGCTTTAAACTGTGATCCTCAGATCTCAGCCTCCTGAGTAGCTAGGATGACAGGTGTGAGCCACTGGCGCCCGGCTTCACCTGCCTATTCTTAACCTCAAAATGAAAAATGGACTTGCCTCCACTGTCTACCTTTTAAGAAAGACAAACTTTAGGGGTTGCAGCTGGGGTGGTGTTTGCTTAGTATATAGGCGGTCTTGGGTGAGTATGTAGGAGCAGTTACTGCTCAAGTTCCAGGTGATTCTTTGTTACAGCTCGGCAATCCCCACCCCCCACCCAGCGCAGCTTCCGGCAGACCTCGAGGTAGGAACCGTGCGGTGGGGGGCTCATTACAGGGGGGGGCGTTACCCTGGGGAGAATCAGCCTCAGATCCACTGGCTGGGGTGGGGGCACAATGGCTGATAGGAGTGGGAGGGGGTGAGCTGGAGGGGGGTGGAGGGTGGGGTAGGAAGGAGGGGACCCAGGCCCCGGGGCCCTTGCTATCCTGTGTGGACTGCAGGCATGCTCGGGCAGCTCCTCCTCCAGCAGGCTCACCCAGAGGCCCTGCTGTGCCCCACTGCGCCCCGCTGTGCCCCCTCTGCCCCGCTGTGTCCCCTCTGCCCCCTCTGCCCCGCTGTGCCCCGCTGTGCCCCCTCTGCCCCGCTGTGCCCCCTCTGCCCCGCTGCGCCCCGCTGCGCCCCGCTGTGCCCCCTCTGCCCCGCTGCGCCCCGCTGCGCCCCGCTGCGCCCCGCTGTGCCCCGCTGTGCCCCCTCTGCCCCGCTGTGCCCTCTCTGCCCCCTCTGCCCCGCTGTGCCCCGCTGTGCCCCCTCTGCCCTGCTGTGCCCCCTCTGTCCCGCTGTGCCCCCTCTGCCCCGCTGTGCCCCCTCTGCCCCCTCTGCCCCGCTGTGCCCCGCTGTGCCCCCTCTGCCCCGCTGTGCCCCCTCTGCCCCGCTGTGCCCCCTCTGCCCCGCTGTGCCCCCTCTGCCCCCTCTGCCCCGCTGTGCCCCGCTGTGCCCCCTCTGCCCCGCTGTGCCCCCTCTGCCCCGCTGTGCCCCCTCTGCCCCGCTGTGCCCCCTCTGCCCCCTCTGCCCTGCTGTGCCCCCTCTGCCCCGCTGTGTCCCCTCTGCCCCGCTGTGCCCCACTGCGCCCCCTCTGCCCCGCTGCGCCCCCTCTGCCCCGCTGCGCCCCCTCTGCCCCCTCTGCCCCGCTGTGCCCCGCTGCGCCCCCTCTGCCCCCTCTGCCCCGCTGTGCCCCGCTGCGCCCCCTCTGCCCCGCTGTGTCCCCTCTGCCCCGCTGTGCCCCGCTGCGCCCCATCTGCCCCGCTGTGCCCCCTCTGCCCCGCTGTGCCCCCTCTGCCCCGCTGTGTCCCGTCTGCCCCGCTGTGCCCCCTCTGCCCCGCTGTGTCCCCTCTGCCCCGCTGTGCCCCGCTGCGCCCCCTCTGCCCCGCTGCGCCCCCTCTGCCCCGCTGCGCCCCCTCTGCCCCCTCTGCCCCCCTGTGCCCCGCTGCGCCCCCTCTGCCCCCTCTGCCCCGCTGTGCCCCGCTGTGCCCCCTCTGCCCCGCTGTGCCCCCTCTGCCCCGCTGTGTCCCCTCTGCCCCGCTGCGCCCCCTCTGCCCCGCTGTGCCCCCTCTGCCCCCTCTGCCCTGCTGTGCCCCCTCTGCCCCGCTGTGCCCCCTCTGCCCCCTCTGCCCTGCTGTGCCCCCTCTGCCCCGCTGTGCCCCCTCTGCCCCCTCTGCCCTGCTGTGCCCCCTCTGCCCTGCTGTGCCCCCTCTGCCCCGCTGTGCCCCCTCTGCCCCGCTGTGCCCCGCTGCGCCCCGCTGTGCCCCCTCTGCCCCGCTGTGCCCCGCTGTGCCCCCTCTGCCCCGCTGTGTCCCCTCTGCCCCGCTGTGCCCCCTCTGCCCCGCTGTGCCCCCTCTGCCCCGCTGTGTCCCCTCTGCCCCGCTGTGCCCCCTCTGCCCCGCTGCGCCCCCTCTGCCCCGCTGTGTCCCCTCTGCCCCGCTGTGCCCCCTCTGCCCCGCTGTGTCCCCTCTGCCCCGCTGTGCCCCCTCTGCCCCGCTGTGTCCCCTCTGCCCCGCTGTGCCCCGCTGCGCCCCCTCTGCCCCGCTGCGCCCCCTCTGCCCCGCTGCGCCCCCTCTGCCCCCTCTGCCCCCCTGTGCCCCGCTGCGCCCCCTCTGCCCCCTCTGCCCCGCTGTGCCCCGCTGTGCCCCCTCTGCCCCGCTGTGCCCCCTCTGCCCCGCTGTGTCCCCTCTGCCCCGCTGCGCCCCCTCTGCCCCGCTGTGCCCCCTCTGCCCCCTCTGCCCTGCTGTGCCCCCTCTGCCCCGCTGTGCCCCCTCTGCCCCCTCTGCCCTGCTGTGCCCCCTCTGCCCCGCTGTGCCCCCTCTGCCCCCTCTGCCCTGCTGTGCCCCCTCTGCCCTGCTGTGCCCCCTCTGCCCCGCTGTGCCCCCTCTGCCCCGCTGTGCCCCGCTGCGCCCCGCTGTGCCCCCTCTGCCCCGCTGTGCCCCGCTGTGCCCCCTCTGCCCCGCTGTGCCCCCTCTGCCCCGCTGTGCCCCCTCTGCCCCGCTGTGCCCCCTCTGCCCCGCTGTGCCCCCTCTGCCCCGCTGTGCCCCGCTGTGCCCCGCTGTGCCCCGCTGTGCCCCCTCTGCCCCGCTGCGCCCCCTCTGCCCCGCTGCGCCCCCTCTGCCCCGCTGCACCCCGCTGTGCCCCCTCTGCCCCCTCTGCCCCGCTGTGCCCCGCTGTGTCCCCTCTGCCCCGCTGCGCCCCCTCTGCCCCCTCTGCCCCGCTGTGCCCCCTCTGCCCCCTCTGCCCCACTGTGCCCCTCTGCCCCCTCTGCCCCGCTGTGCCCCGCTGTGTCCCCTCTGCCCCGCTGTGCCCCGCTGTGTCCCCTCTGCCCCGCTGCGCCCCCTCTGCCCCCTCTGCCCCGCTGTGCCCCCTCTGCCCCCTCTGCCCTGCTGTGCCCCGCTGTGCCCCGCTGTGCCCCCTCTGCCCCCTCTGCCCCGCTGTGCCCCCTCTGCCCCCTCTGCCCTGCTGTGCCCCGCTGTGCCCCCTCTGCCCCGCTGTGTCCCCTCTGCCCCGCTGTGCCCCCTCTGCCCCGCTGTGCCCCCTCTGCCCCGCTGTGCCCCCTCTGCCCCCTCTGCCCCGCTGTGCCCCCTCTGCCCCCTCTGCCCTGCTGTGCCCCGCTGTGCCCCGCTGCGCCCCCTCTGCCCCCTCTGCCCCGCTGTGCCCCGCTGTGTCCCCT